CAAAGGCGCCGCCCGCCACTGCGCCTGTGCGCCCCGCCGGCTCCACGGGAATTGTAGTCCGCCGCCCGCCCCTCGACCGGGCGCACACACCGCCCTGGGGGTTGGCTTGGCTCCGCCGGCTGGGCCCCGGGGAGGGAGGCCGGGCTGGTCCCCCCGGCCCGAGCCGCCTTCCGCAGAGCAACAGGTGGAACTTCGCCGCTGCTGCTGCGACCCGGGCGGGGCTTCTGCAACGGGCTCGCCCGCCTGGTTCCCTTTGGGCTGCCAGCCTGACACAGGAGCCTGGACCGATGATCGAGCGACACAGATCGGCGTCTTGGTTTGGTTTCTGATTCGCCGTCGAGTCGCGGCCGACTTAGGGCGACCCCAAGTGGGGATTTCAAGGGAAGAGGCGGTCGGAGGTGGTTTCCCAGTGCCTGCCTCTGCGTAGCGACCCCGGGCTTCCTTGGGGGTCTCCCATCCAACTACTAACCAAGGCTGACTGCTTAGCTTCCGAGAACTAACGGAGTCAGGGCATAGGTATGTATAGGAGGAGAAAAGGGGAAAGGAAATATTTGTTTGAGAGCATCTCTGCTCTCTGGCAGAGCTGCTGGTAAGAGAGTCATTTCCTGTCTTTTGGAGGCCGGGGGGAATGCTTCTTCTAATTCCATCTCGGAAGAGGCATTCCTTATCTACCCTATACTGAAAGGAATGCTTCCGACACTATCCCAGAAATGGCATTCTTTCTCTTATACTGGAGGGAATGTCATCCCAGAAGGGGTGTTTCTTATCTGTCTTGTACTGGAGGGAATGCCTCTAGCATCATTCCAGAAGGGGCATTCCTCGTCTGTCTAGTACTGGAAGGAATGCTTCTACCACCACCTCAGAACAGTCATTCTTTCTCTTATACTAGAACTGATGCTTCTGGTGCCACCCCAGAAGAGGCATTCCTTGTCTCTCTTATACTGGAGGGAATGCTTCTAATGTAATCACAGAAGAGGCATTCCTTATCTGTCTTGTACTGGAGGGAATGCTTCTAACACCATCCCAGAAAAGGCATTCCTTATCTCTCTCATACTGGAAGGAATGCTTCTAGCATCATCCCAGAAGGGGCATTCCTTGTCTGTCTAGTACTGGAAGGAATGCTTCCACCACCACCTCAGAACAGTCATTCTTTCTCTTATACTAGAACTGATCCTTCTGATGCCACCCCAGAAGAGGCATTCCTTGTCTCTCTTATACTGGAGGGAATGCTTCCAACACCATCCCAGAAGAGGCATTCCTTATCTCTCTCAGGGGTCATTTCGTAGAAAAAGAGGTGCCGGGGCTTATTAGCATAACTCATTAGCACAACTTATTTGCTTATGCCACACCCCCTGACAGCTTTTACAATTACAAATGGAGAAGGCAAACCTGGTCCGTCATTTCCAAGGCGTTCCAGAGATTAAAGGAGAGAATCTGAAGCAAACAATGAGCGAAGCATTGGCCCCAGTGACAGATTTGAAGGCGGACTATCTTATGAGCGAAATGGATGTGGTCTACAGGGCCTACTCCATATACATAAAGAAGAATAATCTCCTCTCTTGGGTTTTTAGTCAGTAGTGGTTATCTTTTCTTTCTCCCTAAATGTAGTACCCCTCCCTTTTTTCATCGTCGTTTTGTGGTCTATATAAAAAATGCAATAAAAAATCCCCTTCGGGGGGCAAAAAATTTTTTTTTCCAGGGTATGGACTTTAAAGAGTCAAACGTCCCTTCGTCGGATACAAGTACAGATGGAGGTCCCTATCTGATGAAGGGAGCTCTGATTCGCAACAGTTACTCTCGGCATCCCACAATTCAGGCTATACCTGCCCAATCGATCTCCAGTGTTGACGTATTTATTTCCTTCGCTATGTTTCCCCCCAGAATTGAGCCCAGACAAATGGTAACTATATATTGTACCCTGCTGATCTCCCTCCCCAAACCCCGTCTTCCCCCCCGGCTCCACCTCCAAAATCTCCAGGTGTTTCTCAACCCAGAGATGGCAACCCTGCATTCCTCCCCTGTTGCTGGCCCTCTTCTTCTGAAGGCCAACGTGGAAGTGTGGGGAGATCGGTAGGGTTACCAACTCCGGGTTGGGAAATACCTGGATATTTGAGGAGGGTGGGGTGTGGGGAGAGGAGGGACTTCAGTGGGGTAGAACGCCAAAGAGCCCAACCTTCCCAAGCGGCCATTTTCTCCAGGGGAACTGATCCCTGTCGCCTGGAGATTGGTTGTAATCCCAGGAGATCTCCAGGAACCACCTGGAGGTTATACCAACGTGAGATCATGGGACAGGTTGTGAGTAAACGAAGAACAACTGTGATATTATTATGCAACCTATTCAATAATTAGCATCAAGCATTTCTATTACGGTAAAAAATTAGTCAATTATGGTAAAAATAGGGACCGCGGTGACTCAGAGGTTAAGACGCTGAGCTGCAGACTGGAAGGTCTGTAGTTCGGCAGTTCGAGACCCGAGTGCCACGTGACGGAGTAAGCCCCTGTCTCTGGCCCCAGCTCCTGCCAACCTAGCAGTTCGAAAGCAAGAAACTGCAAGCAGGTAAATAGGTACCACTTCGGTGGGACGGAAACAGCGTTCCGTGCACCTCAGCGTCTAGTCATTCCAGCCACATGACCACGGAAATGTCTTCGGACAGCACTGGCTCTTTGGCTTGGAAACGGAGATGAGCACTGCCCCTTAGAGTCAGATTCGACTAGCTTTCAAGCAAGGGAAACCTTTACCTTTTACTACAAATTACAAAACACATTCCAGTGCAAAACATACAAATATTTAAAGTGTCCTTGTGAATGAAACTGGCTGTGCTCTGGTTTACAAGGACACTTAAAACATTTGTACATTTTGCACTGGAATGCGTTTTGTCATTTGTACCATAATATAAATGCTAGATGATAATTATTGAATAGATTGCACAATAATGTCACGGTTGTCTTTCGTTTCTTTATCTCCTCGAGGTCGGCAATCCTAGGAGATCGGAGGTATGTCAATTGAAGGAGGAGGAGGAGGAGGAGGAGATTGGGTTTATACCCCGCCCTTCACTCAGCGTCTCAGAGCGGCTAACAAACTCCTTTCCCTTCCCCTCCCCACAACAGACACCCTGTGAGGTAAAAGAAGAAGAAGAAGAGATTGGATTTATACCCGGCCCTTCACTACCCAAAGGTATCTCAGAGCGGCTTACAAACTCCTTTCCCTTCCCCTCCCCACAACAGACACCCTGTGAGGTAAAAGAAGAAGAAGAAGAAGAAGAAGAGATTGGATTTATACCCCGCCCTTCACTACCCAAAGGTATCTCAGAGCGGCTTACAATCTCCTTTCCCTTCCCCTCCCCACAACAGACACCCTGTGAGGTAAAAGAAGAAGAAGAAGAAGAAGAAGAGATTGGATTTATACCCTGCCCTTCACTACCCAAAGGAGTCTCAGAGCGGCTTACAAACTCCTTTCCCTTCCCCTCCCCACAACAGACACCCTGTGAGGTAAAAGAAGAAGAAGAAGAAGAAGAAGAGATTGGATTTATACCCTGCCCTTCACTACCCAAAGGAGTCTCAGAGCGGCTTACAAACTCCGTTCCCTTTCCCTCCCCACAACAGACACCCTGTGAGGTAAAAGAAGAAGAGATTGGATTTATACCCCGCCCTTCACTACCTGAAGGAGTCTCAAAGCGGCTTACAAACTCCTTCCCCTCCCCACAACAGACACCCTGTGAGGTAGGTGGGGCTGAGAGAGCTCTGAGAGAAACTGCTCTTTTTCAAGAGCAGCTCTGACAGAATTATGGCTTGCCCAAGGAACGCTCATAAATTCTAGACTCCCCCCCCCCCCCCCCCGTTCTCGCAACCAACTTTTTGCAAAGCCGGGAAGCTGTATTCTTGTTTTTTTTAAATTAACATGCTGCATTGCTGGCCCTCTCCCTATAATTATCTTAAAAAGGCAAAGATCTTTTGTAACATATGTTCAAGTGTGGCGTGGGCGGGGGTCCCCATGGGAAAACGAGGTAACCCGGCCCACCTTCCAAGCAGGAAAAAATTACCTCGCTTGCAGCTACAGTCTTTGCAAACTGGGTCTCCCGCTGGTGGGCACATTGATAAACTATTCATCTTTTCCTGGGCATTAGCCATCTAATGGCTCAGGGGATCTTTTCTTTCACAAGGCAGTGCTCAACGCACGGTACACCTCCGCTCTGTGGCAC